CTGAAGTGGAATAGTGTAGCCACTTTAGGAAGAAACGAAGAGTCCATACAAAGAACGACCTTTTCCTTATGGAAATTAAGATATGGAGGGTCTATGCGGAGAGCAGAAAGTTCGCTTGCTTTCCGAGCTGATGTCACCGCTATGAGGAAAGCTGTTTTCCAGGACACCAGGCGTAGGTCGCCAGTCGCCAGTGGCTCAAACGGAGATTTGGTAAGTGCTTGGAGTACGACCGAAAGGCTCCAGGTTGGCATAGGCGGGCGAATAGAAGGGTGTAGGTTCTGTAACCCCAGAAGGAAACGTCGAAGTAGAGGTTGAGAGAAAACTTAAATCCCTTGAAGCACACCACAATAGTGTGAAATAGCGGCTACATAAACTTTAATGGATGACGGTTTCAGTCCCAAATGATAAAGTTCCAAGAGAAATAGTAAAATATTGTCAATTGAGGCCATTCCAGGAGAAAAAGAATGGCGTCCTGCAAAGGAGGAAAATCTCTTCCATTTAGTCGCATAAGAGTGATGAGTGGACGGTCTTAGAGCAGATGTGAGAATCACCTGAATTTCCTGGTCAACAGTCACCGGTAGCAAAGCAGTTGTCGTCGAAACTGACCTAGGGGCCGTCAGTACAGTGGAGTGAATACATTCCGGTAGAGGTTTGGATGTCGTCGGTACTGACGCAGCAGAATGACTCAAGTGATCCGCCATGCTGTCAACCTCAAGGCAGTCAGATCCGGATGTCGGATCGCTCTGTTTTGCTGTGTTAACAGCTGAGGAATAGACGGGAGGCGAAGAAACGTCCCTTTGGATAGACGAAGAAGGGTGGCGAACCACGGTTGTCTCGGCCACCATGGAGTTATTATTATTCCTGTGGCATTCTCTTGAGATATCTTCGCTATCACTTTCATTAGAAGTGGAATTGGGGGAAACGCATAAAAGGCTATGTTGTCCCAGGGGATCATAAGGGCATCTCCCATCGATCCCGATCCTATGCCTGCCCTGGAACAGTATAGGGCATACACTCTGTTGTCGCAAGTGGCAAACAAGTCCAAGTCCGGATAGCCCCACAGATGGAAGAGGTCGTGGCATATTTGTCTGTCCATCTCCCATTCATGCATTGTTGACATATGTCTGCTCAACATGTCTGCTTCGGTGTTGTCGGTCCCTGCGAGGTGGACTGCTAGAAGCATAATGTCCCTTGGTATGCACCAGTCCCAAATGGCCATCGAGAGACATGCTAAAGGTGGCGATTTTGTGCCGCCCTGTTTGTTGATGTAGAAGACAGCCGGTATGTTGTCCGATGCAATCTGGACAACTTGTTGGCATAGGACAGTCTCGAAAGCCCTTAGGGCGTTGAAAATCGCCTGTAGTTCAAGGACGTTGATGTGCTTCCTTGCTTCCCGTTGGTTCCAAGTTCCCTGAACCCGAAGGTCCGCACATGTTGCGCCCCATCCCAGTAGCGACGTGTCTGTATACAGGGTCTTCATTGGATGAGGTGTTCAGAATGGGACACCGACAGACAGGTTGCTCAAAATGGTCCACCAAATTAGAGTGTTGAGTATCACAGACAGAAGTCAGACCAGTTTGTTGGGAGAATCTCGCTGTGGCCATATGGGACAATGGCAACTGCAGCAGCCATGTGCCCCAATAGTCTCTGAATGGATATAGCCGGAACCGTTCCTAGCGTTCGGATTCGAAGAATGTGGGCACATAAGGTAGCGCGACGGTCCGGAGGGAGGAAAGCATTTTCCCGTGTGGAGTTGAGACGTGCCCCGATAAAGTCGATGACCTGCGTGGGAATAAGGGACGATTTTTCGTGGTTAATACATAGTCCAAGATCATCGAGCAAGGCGCAGGTCATGTGTATTGCAGACAGAAGCCCTTGTTTAGTTTGGGAGACAATTAGCCAGTCGTCTAAATATGGGTATATTTGCACTCCTCTTGTCTGTAAGTGCGCACATACTGGTGCCATACACTTCGTAAAAACTCGAGGTGTGGTGGCCAGGCCAAAGGGTAGCACAGCATATTTGAACAAGTCGACTCCAACAGTGAAACGCAGGAAACGTCTATGTGAAGGATGGATAGCAACATGAAAATAAGCATCCTTCAAATCTAAGCAGGCGAACCAATCCTCTCTCTTCAGTAACGGAAAAATACTCTGTAAAGTGGTCATCCGAACCTTTTTTGTTTTGATGTATTTGTTACGATTCCGTAAGTCCAAAATCGGATGAAGACCACCGTCTCTTTTCGGGACCGTGAAGTATCTGGAGTAGAATCCGTGCAATCCCTCCGAGCGGGATAGTTGTCGAATCGCGCCCTTGCGAAGCAACTGAGAGACTTCTTCCCACAGTACCGATGAAGAAGATGTAAATCGAATAGGACACGGTGGAGGGACGACATCGAATTCTATCCTATATCTGAACTGAATGATAGACAACACCCACCTATCAGATGTAATGGACTCCCAAATGGGGAGTCGGCCCTGGAGCCGGTCCCCAAAAGGGAGAGGGAAAGGTGGTGTGGGGAGAGAGAGAATGGTTCACCCGGACCGTCAACGTGGACGTCTGTCAGTGTCGAAGCACCGCCGGCCCTGGGGGAAACGTTGCCGCGGCTGTTGTCTTCGCTGTTGCTGTCTTTGTTGGTAGTGTTGCCGAGGGTGGAATTGTGGACAGTAAGAGGAACAAGGCCCTTGCCACTTACGCCTCTGTTGAGGAAGCTCCATGCGGCACGCGGTCATACGCGATTCGTGTATCGCTTTTAACTTGCGGTCGGTTTTCTGATGGAATAACCCGGTACCGTCGAATGGCATTTCCTCGATCCTTCGTTTCATCTCGTCGGGGAAATTGCAATTACGAAGCCATGCATGTCGGCGCAGCGAGATGGCATTCACGAGAGCTCTCGAATTGGTATCTATGTGATGTTGTGCAGTAGATAATTGCTGCACTGCTACCTGCATAGCTTCCTTGATGAATACCCTGGCAAGCTCGGCTTGGCGGTCTGGAAGGGAGGAAGCAACGTTATCCAGTTTTTGCATAATAAAATACTGGTAACGTGCCAGTGTTGCTTCATAGTTCAATATGTGCACGCCGAGTCCAGAGGCCGCATAGACTCGGCGGGCGAGCATATCGATCTTCCTCCCTTCCTTGTCGCGAGGGGCTATGTGTCCCCTGAACTCCCTGCCCTGGGAGGATTCGACGACAACAGAGTTCGGGCGTGGATGGTGAATCAGGAATGGAATGTTGTCCTCCAGAACTCTGTACATGGCCTCATACCGATGGGAGGTCGCTTGCGGTTGGGCCGGTTGATTCCAGGATTGGACCATAGCCTGCCGAAGTGTGATAATAAGTGGCAGGACTATGGCCGCGGACTGTTCTCCCCTCATAACATCATAGAAGCGATCCGTGGATGGGCCCAGCTGTTGACTAGCCTCAATCTCTAGTGAACGGACGAGGCAGGACATGAGCTCCGTAAAGGAGACATGTGGCTCATCGGGCGACGCCGGTCCTTGGGAGACGACTGCTACATCGGGGGATGTAGAGTCAACCTCGGATTCGTCCGAATCCGGATAATAAAGTGGACGGTCGCTCGAAGACAACGTTTCTGGGGAGGTTGGATGTCCCCTCTCCACATGCCTGGCTGTCGAAGGCAAATCTCTCGGGGCCGATGGAGACGCACGATCCCAAGGGTAGTACAAATAAAATTGATAGCCGCCCCAGTCTGGGAAGGCACCATATCCATGCATCCTCCACTCGTCACCCCGGTGTTCGGATGAGCGGCTGCGGCGCCTTGGAGGTGAAGGTGACTCCACAGGTGGCTCAGTCGTGGGCATTGGAGTCGGAGACCGTTCCCTCAGTGGGGAGTCTCTAATCTCGCCATCAAAGATAGACTCCCGAAGCGGCTCCTCCACTTGTTGGGTCGGCACGCTCTCAGGCCAAATGAGAGGCCTGGGGGATCCCGGCGGTGTTACCTGCATAGTAAGTTGCAGGGCCGGTCCCGAAGAGGTCGGTACCGTGGTGGCAGACGGTACCAAAAAAAACAGACGAACCCGAGCCCCGGTGTTTGGGGCGATCGGGTTTCTTGGTCTTGTGAGCGGGTTTATCTGCCTTCTCCTTCCTCGGAACTTTACAAGTGGAAGGCTTATCCGAACCCGTGTGCTTGCGCTTCTCCCATTTCTTGGCTGGGGAAGAAGGCGGCACCTGGGTCTCCGCTGGAGTAGTGCCTTCAGCCGAAGGAGGCTGAGGAGGAGCGGTGGAAGCGGGACGCTTCGGAGGAGCACTCACAGTTGGGGTGGAGCGTGGAGGAGGCAGTGCGGCTGAAGAGGAACCAGGCCGTAAGAGCAGTTGGTCCGATTGCATCAAGGCCTGGTCCCAGAGGAGCTTGCGGAGACGGTTCTCCCTGTTCTTCCGCGCTTGCTTGGTAAAGGCCAAGCAATGGCCGCACTTGTCGGTTCTATGCCCCTCGCCGAGGCAGAGGAGGCATAGATCATGCGGATCCGCAGGTGACATTTTGGATCTGCATGCGGTGCATTTGCAAAAGGCCGCTCGCTGCGCCATCGCGGAAAAAGAAGAAAAGATGACAGGATAGAGGGTAAGATAATATTTTTGGTTTTTTTGTTTGTTTGTTTTTTGAGAAGAAGAAAAAGAGAGGGGTATACAAACTTGGAATATAAACTAGGAACAGTAAGGACTCAAGATCTTAGCGAGGACGTTAACAGGCACGAGGCAAAGTGAACGGTGGTCGCAAAGATTGAATAAAATGGCAGACACTCCGCTCTATTTATACGACGAAGGGGGAGGGGAGGGGAGTTTTCCCACCAAAAACCGTTAGCTTTTTAATCTTCCAGCCTAGGCACTGCGCAGGTGCAGCACCCATATGTGTGATGCACAGAGGCCACGACGAAGAATATTAGTTTACTTTTGAAACTTCTGGTCTCCCACTCAAAAAAATCCCTTATGATTCAGTAGTTGCTGTTTCAAAGCTTTCTGCTTCTCTTTTGCACACACTTACTGAATGAGTGTTGATAATTTCTTCAATAGAAATATATATCACTGGCTTGCTAAGAGTCACCATATCCGAGTATTCATCAATATTGAATTTTTCTTCAGGTTCAGGAACACAACATGCTGCCTGAAAAAAATTCCTAAAGAGGGGGAAAATGGAAGACAAGTTTTAAATAATACCACTATCTTAACCAAAATCCAAACTTAATAATAAGCCTGCTAACCAATTCCCAGTTTTCTGAAAGCAGCTCGGTACATTTGCATAGGGTTCAGTCTTATAATCAATCAGCAGAACAGTTTCTGCACATTGTTTTTTTACCTTACTGTGGTATGCTTGATAAGGGTTTGATAGTGTCAATTATAATGTTTATTGGTTGAGGGTGTAGTAGCTCAGAACTGCAGATTCACTTTAGCCAGAAGAAGCCAAAAGGAGACATGCAACCGTGGACTAGAACACCTATAGAGGTAGGCTGGATAAACAATAAATCCATGAAAATTATAACTGACATTACCAGGTCCTTGCCAAGAATACCACATCACCTTATAGGGATTTTCAAATGTTGAGTCCATTTATAAATGCATTTAACTAGATACATCCATGCTTATGTAACCTTTTTATATTCCCATTGTCTTCTTCATCTGAGTGTATGGCAGCCATCCAACTATTACAACAGACTTGCACAAATGATGGAAACAATCCTATTCCACATATAGCATGCGGATCACAGTCTACAGTTCCAATTGTATCTTAACCTTCAAATTCAGATAAGAAGCTGTCAATGGTCATGAGTTCCATAAAAGGCAACTCCACTGAACCAGATACTAGTTTCCATTTTTACTAAATGACACAGGAAAAAAAATACCTGGTATATTTGGAGTCTATTGCAATGTGATTATTTTTAAAAGTTAAGAATGCAGATGATATATACACAACAACAGTCATATTTACCATTATGGCAGCTGTAATATATCATGTGTTCTACACTCACTTTGAAGACCATATGGTCAAAAGGTAGGCTAGAAATGTTTTTTTAATTAAACAAAATCCAGGATCTCTTAAGGTTTCCAACAAAAATATCAAATGATGTGACATAAAGCAAGAAACTGAGCAACTGACAGCTGGTCTAATATTCCACTTCATTCTTCACTATATCAACCCACTTTTAATGAAGTTCTTTCATTCAGTTGTTATTAAAATTACAACTTATTGTAACTCAAGGATAGCTCTGACACCACCCACCACCGCCCAAGTAAATTTACTTGGGCCAAAGAGCAGTTTTCTCAGGAACATTTCAGCATGATATCTGCCATTTCCTGCGATTGTCTGACAGCATCTCCAAGCAACTGCTTAGGAACCCTGAAGGGACTATCAGTGGCAGTCAATTGGGGATTTTTATTAAGGAAAGAAAGGGATGAATGGGATAAAAGACATTGTAAGCTGGAAGTGGTTTGTGATTGCTAAGGATATAGTAAAGACTATTTAGTCACGCTGCAGTGCCCCCTGGAATACCTAGGGGGAGGACCAGAGGAAAGGGAGGGGCCAACAACTCACTCATCATCTGGTGGGTGCTCTTTAAGTTGTTTGCAGAACCACCAACTACTATGTCTTATTGTCAAGATAGGTTGGCATGATGTGTGCATACAGAAGACAGCATACAAAATCATCTGCAGCAGAAAAGGTGGATACAAATGAATCCATCCTACACCTAAAGCAAGGGTCTATTCAGAAGTCGTATTAGGGATGGCCCAGGGCTGGAGTCCCAATCTTCCATTTGGAGCCCCATTCTCTGGAAGCCATCTGCCTTACCACCTTGCTGTCCAAAGGCACATGCTAAAATAAAGATTCAGAGGGCTGGTGTTCTCTGTTACATCTGACCCCCCCCTGGATTAGCTGGGTTGTTGCCCTCGTGTGCTTCACCGTCTTCTGCTTTCATCCCCCAATTTTTTTTGCATCCTTTGGAGACACACACAGAAACATTTTAAATTACCATATGCACATTTGAGCTGTTTGTTTGTCTTGTAGACCTGAGACCTAGATCTTTTCATTACTGGGGTTACCCATGGAATTAGGTCCATTCCACAGTTTATTGTACTATTTGTTTCTGTACAGACCTGAATTTCTCATATGTCTGAGAGAGATAATTGTTCATTGATGAGAGATGTGCATTTTCTCCTTCGAAGAGTTTATTTGAGGCAGCATGTTGGAGGACTTTGGCCACACAACCTAAATTTCTCCTCTGATCAGAATGGACTTGGCCTCCAGCTGTCATGTCAATTATATCAAAACCATCAGGGGCCACAATGGCTGGATTCATAAAACGATAGTAGAGGAGATTTCCAACAATCTGTGTGAGAAAAACATTTTTAGACAGATCTTCTCCTTGGTATCTTTATTTTACAGATGTGATTCTACCCAACTGTTAACACTCCTTAAACAAAACCATTATTGGCTGTACAACACAAGCTCTGGTGGTGCTACAGAAGCCAAGGGATAATGCAAAAGCTTTATTGGGTCAAACTTATGATTCATACAGCTTTATGTCATATCCAAAAACAGTATGGATGCTTTAGAACAGTATAAAATACACTACAGAGAAAACAATTATTCCAGGAATTCTCTCAGTACTTCTGGCAACTAAGTCCTAGACGCAGGGGACACTTGCATTTCACACAATATAAATACATTTGTATACCTAGAGAGAGAATAAGCAAAGAGAACTCATGATCCTTCCACTGAAGCTCTCCAGATGTTTTGGGTTTCAACTCCCATAAGCACCTGCCAGCATGGCTAGTGGCTGGGTTGGCCAAAACCTCTGGAGGGCACCAGGTTCAGGAACTAGTTCTAAAGGACTCATCAAATTCTCATTTTTTAATCTGTCCAAATCCAAACCCCATATATTTTCCCCAATTTCATTTTACTGAATGTACTGCCCTGAGTTTTTTATCTGAATTTGAGAATGGAAGAGACAAATTGGGCTGCTTCTCACAAGAAATTGGTGATACATCTCCATTTTTCTTAAAAAACAGTGAAAAGTCTTGCGTTTGCTAAAAGATTCAGCATTCCTTTAACCAAAGCCACTTATATGGAGAAGGCTTTTTTTACCTGCTACCTATAGCTGCTGGGATTTCAGTTGGTCATTTACACAGTGGAACTTCTATCTAGCATTTGCACTGGTATGCAGCCTTTGTGGATTTTCTTCTGCTAAGACGAAGCAGTATTTTTCTTGGCTCCTTGAGCCATCCTTCCCCTTATAAGTGGACCATTGAGGGGAGAGGCAGGAGTTGATTTGGACATCTGGGACGTATGCTGAAGTTTTGAGCCACTCAATATGGAGAGCCCAGCCACCCTGTCCTGACCTGCTGACCAGCTTTGGCCAGCAGGGTCCCCCCTCCCCCAATCAGCTGTAATTTTACTGACATTACACTAACTCTGGCAACCTAAAGTAGCAAAAGTGGAATGGTGCAATCACACTGGTGGATAATGGTGCAGTCTACCCAGGGTTGGTTTTACAATCCTTACTAACTTGGAAAAAACAGCCAAAGTAGTTAGAAATTTTGGGCAAAAACAGAAAAATGACAGTGTCATTTGAAAGCCATGTAAATTTCTTCAACAGAGACATTCTGAGTGCACAGTAAGATTCTTGTCTAGAAAAAATGCTTCCTGTGCTTTTTGGATAATTTACATCTATTTATATCCTTGACCCATGGAAATGCTTATCATCCTTTTTAGGAGAAGGAATACCCTCTGTGAAGGCTTTTTATTGTTGATATTAGTTCAGCCTCAGAATGTTATGTCTTGGTCATTCTGTTCTGGAGCTAGTAAGTGGACATTGCTCACTTTTGCTCACATAATATAAGCAAAAGATTGCTGAATACAAGTAAAAGCTTACTGAAATACTATTTATCTGGCTTCCACATCCAAAGACTTGTCATTTATCTGGTTCCATGCATGCTAATTTGGAAGTTATTCCTGCTGTGTTCATCAGTATTCTTCAGTAAGAATAATGCCCAGAGAGTGAAGTTTTCTTCAGTATTATAAAACTTTCAGGGAAGCAATATCGATTGCTGAGAATTTAACTGGTGACTGGTGATGAGGAGACACTAATGAAGACACTCTCACCCTCTGTTATTAAGGATACTTCCTCTTGGAAAATTTGGGAACTGGATCTCAGTTTTCAACTGACTCAGACAGTACAATTTCACAGGAGTTGTCACTAGAGGCAAAATCCAATTACTATGAGATTATGGAAAGAATAAGATGTGTCACTGATTTGCTTTTTCTTAAAATAGGGGCAGGGAACATTTGTATGCCTTTGCTTATTTCACCCTTCTTCTATAAGCCCTACCAGAGCTGATACTTTTGTTTATTTGCTGAATGCAAGCAAAACTGGCTTTACTGTAACAGGGCCAGTGTAGTCTTCAAAGTTTTAGAAAATGCCTTTTAGAGTAAGATTTTCAAATGCAGTAGAATGTTAAGAAAACAAGACATTACTGACACTAATATTCTGAGCTGAGTCAAGCACTACACCCTTAATCATGTAGTGTTAAGACACTGCACAATCATGTTCAAAACATGTCAAATGGAAAAACGCATTCATTTATTTGTTCTAATGCTACTATTAAAGTTTAACATTGTTATTGTTTTTAAGTAGATAAGCCAAATTCAAACTAAAATGCTTACTGGGCTTTGTGCTAAATGCTTACTGGGCTTGTAGATTTGTGCTTACTGGCACAAATCTACAAGAAGCAGCAGCTTATATACAATTAGGCATTTGTCTCCCAGGAGAACATCTTTGTTGCTTCCCTCACACTAGTGCTTAAACTCTATTTTATTACCAGTATGGGAAGTGTCATTACGATCCTGTTCCTCTCCCTAGCCCAGCCACTACCACATTTAAGCTGCTGTAGAAAAAACTGGGCATGGGTGTCAATTCAAGCTCCTAATACTTAAGGAACTAAATGCTCAATATTTAATTGGATATGTAACAAGTTTGGGAGAAAGTTACAACTTATACAAAAGAGAAAGAAATGTGCTCTTGGAAGTTTGCCAGCTTGTATAACCCTCACTGAGAAAATATTCTATATAAACTGTCAAGTTTTCAGTAGCAATGATGAGAATCCTTAAGCGCCATCTCACTATCCCTCTGCCATACCTGTTCCCCAGTGCTAAGCTATTTCCTTGTCACCATAATTAGAAAGAATAAAGGATGCTGACAAATAACCCCCTCAAATCTACCTTTAATAGCTCATCCTCTGTTGCATCTGGAAATTTCTCATGGAGCGAATTCTTCAGAACTTTGGCTATATATCTCATTCCATAACTACATGCAAAAACAGATGCAAAAGAAAAATAATGGAGAGAGACTTAGGATGAAAAACAACTAATTCAAGTCAACCAAAACCAAAATAACAAACCCAAAACAAAACATTGAATCATTAGAAACTGTAGAAGTAAACAAGATGGGACTAAAACAAAATAAAGAATCACACAAAAGAAAGTTGCATTATGAAAGCGTATTAAATACGAAGTATTTGGTTTTGGTGATACAGAGTGAATACTCCCTCTGCTGATGAAGTGCCTTTATGAATTAAAGCATATTTAACCTCAGTAGTTTGAGAAAATAACCAGGTAACATAGTAACCACACTGAGGGATGGAGTATGGCTTGCGAATGGGTTGTCATTGAACTGTGGGTTGTTGCTAGAATGTGGTTTATTGTGATGTCTGAACCCAGCTGAGATAACAAACCATGGCACAACACAGCAGCAAATTGTGAGTTCTCTTTTTGGATAGTTTGTGGTTAACAAGCCACAGCTTATTTGCACAACAGAATTCAGACAACATGATAATCCATCTTTCAACAACCACTCATAGTTTAATGACAACCCATAATCAATGCATGCTCAGCCCTTAAGTGTGGATTATAAATGGTCTGAACCCAGTCAATATAAGAATGCTATATAAAAGATCTTGCATATCTATATTTATCTCCCCACCACTCTCTTTTGTACAAGTATTTTGAGAATGCTAGTGCGAGATAGCACGTGTCTGATCCACCAAGGTTTTCCCATGTTCCTGCACTTACGGCATTAAATTAAGAGATGAGAATATGGAAGCTAGGACTTTATCCGTTACTGCTCTGAGGCTCTGAATTGAGGACTCCAATCGATTCACTACTTCAGAATGTGCCAGTGCTTGTTCTGTTGTTACATCATAAGGTAATTTGCTGCAAAAAGGGGAGAAAAGGAAGCACAGTAAACAAGAACCACTTTTCAAATGGTACATTTAAAAATATGGTAAAAAGTATTGTGATTGCTCAGTGACTAAGATGACCTAGTCCTAGAATTAAGATACCTAATTTTCCTAATTGCCCCTAGAGAAGGACAAGTTACATTTCTGAAACATGTCAAATTTTAATCCATTTAGACATTTTATCAACCTGTTTTTCCGATGCCTTCTTGCTGGATTCAAAAGAGCTATACAGGATTTTCTATGAACTTATCCAGACCTTATACTGAATGCCTGCACTTTTATTATTTTATAATATACAAGACTATTCATTTTTATTTGAATGCAATCTATTTTTGAAACTCTTTCTAAAGTAGGGATGCCATCAGGGTAGAATCTAGGTGCAGAAATCAAGGGCCCAACTCAAGGGTGAGCAGTAGGGTCCCCATATGCACCACCCACTGCATTCTGAAATAAGAGAAATACACTACCATTTAAAGCGACCCATGGCAATACAATGAAGCCCAGTGCCTAATATTACCCAATTGTACTGTCTTGTTTTAAGCTAGTTTCACTTTTTTAGTCCTGATGTTTTAAAAGTCTTAGATTCCATTACTTAGCAAGTCCACTTCATGGCTGGTTTACATAGATAAATAGCTGGTGCAACACCTCCCACTGTCAGAGACAGAAAACCGTGCTGCTGCCTTCTCTTCATTCCTCTTTCTGGTGATGTTCACCCACCTCCTTCTGCAACAATGATGGAGGTAGTGTCCACTGCCCACTCTTCTCTACCTCCCCACCCTGCGACTGCCTCTTCTACCCCACTCTCCATCCCTGGCCACAGTGATGTTGGCGGCAGCAGGTGCTCACTTATCCTTGCCATGACAACAGCCATAATGGAGGCCACTGCTCACTCTTGTCCCCCTCCCTCCACTGCCTTCTTGTCTCTCCATTCTGACTATGACTGTCTGTCCCCCTTCTTCCTCCCAGTTTCCTGGGCAGGAGTCACTGTCCTCCTTCTCCTCCTCTCAATGATGGAAGTGGCAGCAGGCCATCTCCTCCCTCTATGCTTCACTTGAGAGCTTCTTCCTGAGAGAAAGGAACCGGCACAGATGTGGCCCTGGAGGCTGCTGCACTGCAGGTCATCTCCACAGTCACACCCCCCCCCAATGCCTCAAAGCAGGGCACTTAGGCCAGGAAAAGCTTTGCTGGCCACTCTTCTAAACTGCTAGTGGGGCTTCCCACTTGATGTTCCACTCAGAAGGGTTCTCCAAGGGAGGCGGCAAGTGGGTGGCAATGCATGGCTGTGCCAGGCACACGTGCTGCAGCAGGAAAACAGCCAGCTTGAGTGGCTGAGAACCTGAAGTTCCCTGCACACAGAACCCACTGCCTGTTGAGTTTTGCCACCTGAGGTAGGGGATTCATCCTGCCCTGTGGAAGAGCCAGCCCTGTATAACTACAACTGACAGCCAGCACAGTATAGTGGTTAGAGATCTGGGAGATCTGGGTTGTCATCCCCACTCAGGCACAAACCTCGCTGAGTGCCTTGGGGGTGACTCTTAGCCTAACCAACCTCATAGGGTTGCTGTGAGGTTAAGACTGAGAGGAAGGGGAGGAGGATTATGTGAGCCACCTTGAGTTCCTTAAGGAAAAAAGGAAGCATCTAAATACAATACATAAATATATGTTCATTCTTCTCATTGCCTGCTCTCACCTATTTTCTCCTGCTCTCAGAAACAACATAAAGGAATTAAATTCGTTTTTACCTGTTTATGTTGCACTTACCTGGCCTCTCCAGTCTGCATTTCTAATTGGTTTACCCATGCTTTATATACTTCTACAGGACTTGTGTTGATGGCGAGGGATTTGTCATCCATAATTTCTTTCACCACTGGGGCCAACAGCTGACGCAGAGTATTCTGTCCTCGAGCACCTCGATTGAAACTGACTACCATCTTGATAACAGTGGGATTTCCCGTGACAATATCTTGAATCTGGTCTACTTTGGAACTGTGGAAATAAAAGAATCTCTTTTTACATTCTGACTGATAATATGAAACCTAAGGGCAGCATCCAGTGGAGCCATTAAATATGTGGCACCTTCTAATGAATCTCCTGAGCAAATGGGACTGCTCGCCCAATAGAAATTTAGGAAGCCCGCAGGAAGCAAAAAACCCTTTTCTGGATCATGGCAGGTCACTGGAGCTCCCCCATCTGAGCTCCAGTGACCTGTCCCATTCCTGATATGAGCATTCTGTTCACTCCCCAAAATGCTAAATGACACTGAGCCAGGCCACCCTGAGCAATGGGTCTCACTTGTTGGAACAGTATAAACAGGGGTGTCAATAGAAGCGGTGGAAGCAAAGTGCCCCCTTGGGCACTGTCCTTTGTGAGTGACTTCTGAATGTGCATGCAGCAAACATAAGGGCTTGTTGCATTTTGTCCATTCAGCAGAACACGTACAATTTTCTAACAACATTATTCCATTCAAAACCAATCTAACTGAAACAAACAGAAATATGAGATACAGCAAGCGATCCAACAAAGATTAACAGGATTTACAGACTGATCCTTTATGTTAATATGAACAAACATATTAACTTAGTTTACTATTCAGTTCTCAAAAATGGCAAACACCAATGCATCTATAAACTAGAAGAAACTTGAACAATTCCTAATTTTGTCTGAGCAAACAAGATATAGGAAAAGCTAAAGATGGGGGTCTTTGCCCATTTAATATACGCACTTTATTTCTTCTTCTAGAGCAGTTTTAAACAGTTTCAAAAGTAAGTATTCTTCTCGCTGATTAGAAGCATAGTTGTACAATGTGAAGATGACTGTGTCCATGAATTTAGTGGATTTATTCTGGGGCATCTGGAAGATCAGCTTTGCCAAGTATGTTGGATTAGTCTATAGAAAGAATATCAGAATGACTGTAACGGTGCATTAATTCAAATGTTAAGGCTTTACACTTCCTACTTTATTAGAACTGAGAAATCTGAACCATCTTTAATGCATCTGAATTTTTATCAGAACAAACTCAAGCTTGCAAGCTCCCTTATAGGAGGTTGTTAAGTACCATAGTAAAAAAAATGATTCCAAAAGTGCCTAATAGCATAATTATTGTTTTACAGGGTGCCTTTCTTATAAATGCATTTATGAGAGTGAAACCCTTTGCAAGCAAAACTGTAATGATCAGGTTCATTAGCTCAGATGCCATTAATGCTAATGGACGTCAAGCTGTTTGAAAAACAATAGCTACTATGGAAGTGATTACAGCATTCCCTAAAGTTCACATTAACAAATTCAGGCTACTTCAAAGGGATTCAACTCAAACAGAAGCCATGCCCTTAGCTTTGCGCAAAACATCCCATCAGTTTAGAAAAGCACCAGTGCTGGTAGTTGGCTTCTAAGCATCTTCCACATAATGCCTTCCAAAATCTTTTGCCAGCATTGTCCCTGTCTAGTCTCAGTACACACCCGCCGCTCTCAACACTCCATTTTTTAAACCTCCTTTCCAAGTACCCCTGCTTACACACACATGCCAGAAAAGCAGCCTTCCTTGCTCCTGCCAGATTAAACATCCCTGTTATTCAAGTCTTCTTTCCAATGACTAAAAGCTATCTTTTCTCCTTACAGCTGCAAATGCTCATAAACTATAGCGTTACCACTGACTGGATGCTTGATTCTTAATTAAAACAACTGGGAAAAAGAAACCAATGCTATGGCACTGTGTGTGGAATGTGTTAAGCAAGTCACACTCCAAAATGATAAGGCCCCCTGCTTTGCACTGGGTTCTAACAACCCTGGGCACAAGGAAGTCAACGAAAGGGGACTTGCCCTCCTACTGTCAATGAAGTTGCATCTGAGGGTCAGTCAGTTGTCATGGATGGGGTGGCATGATTGGTTGTTTGGAGTGGCAGGATTGCCTGGGGTAAGGTGCTTCTACCTGGTTTTGGCCTTGGCTAATTTGCTCCTCCCCAGCAATACCTATTCCCTATACCACCCTTTTCCAGAGAGTTCCATGAGGTGGGCAAAGGGGGCTGCTGTGGGGGTGGGGGTGTGGGAGAGTCCCCTTCTGTGCAGTTTTGTCCACTTGTAGCTCTTACAATTCAGCTCTCTGTTTTACATGCATTTTATCAATGACATGATGAGAATTTTTTCATTGAGGTTTGAACAGCCTTTGAGGTAAGAGAAAGCAGAAGGTGTGTGTGATTGTTAATTGGTGTGCCATAGAGCACTGACAACCATGTTAAAACAAAACAATGTAACTGTTCAAAATCCATCCATTTAGCAATTTGATTTGCAGATTTACTTTGCTTTTCTAATGCATTGCCAACAAATTATAGCTCCTATTTCATTTACACAGTAAATTATCTAGCAAACAAGAATAAAGAGTATTTGTTGGCATTGGTTTGTGTAGCATTTTTCTCCCACACACGAAGAATGGAATTTAGCATCTTTCAAGCAGATACAAGTTATGAATGTTTAATCTGAAACCAAAACCACCAGACTACTCACCTGGAGAAGGTAAAACAAGTGTTGATAGGCCTCCAACTTTTTTCTTCTTTCTTTGCTCAGGCCCTTGATGCCCTGCTTGTCCCCAGTGACCATTTCTTCCACTTGATTTTTGCTTTTTTTGTTCAGCTTCTTGCTATGTGACACAACATCCTACAAAGAAAAAGGAGAATGTAAATGCTAAACCAGATGAGAACTGCTAGTCCACAAGAACCGTAAAAATGTGCTAACATTAGAGACAGGACATTTAGGTGACTGTAGCCCTCTGCTACAGCCAGATAATATTTAGACATCTTTTTCAAAAAGATGAGTTATCAGTTAGAGTTTAGCAGTTCCAAACAAGGAATGAAAGACAGTTTTACTTGGGGTTGAAAATGGGGAAGAAGAGGCTCTGACTGGATTCACATGAAATGGCAACCAGCAGCCAGCCATAGTGGGTTACTACGTCATTTGAACCTGGCATGGTTTCCGTAGGCGACTTAATTTTCATATGCAAACCATATGGAGTGCCTATAGCTTGCTTCAGGGTTGCTGAATACCTATGGTGGGTTGTCATACTGTCCAAGCCCAAGAGAACAATTTTATCATGATTTGCCAAGATTGCCTAGAGCTGCTTGGCAAAGCTAGTAAAAAGCCCATGCCACTCCTCACAATTCTGTCAGTGCTGCCTCTAGCCTCCTTTACCAGTTGCTTCTCCTTCCACTGATGCAATATAGCAATATAAGGAGCTATCATTTGTTCATAACCATTTTTATTTTCTTGTGCTTTGGGAATATGCAAATAGGTTTGTAATTTTAAGTTATTTTCCCATTTCTTTTGCAATTGCACTGGCACAATATGTATATTGAACACAACGTACTGTTCAATATGTATAGATTTTCCTGGTTATTTTTCTTGTATATTGCAGCTGTCAGTGAGGGCACCAAAATAGAGTAGGTAATCCACAAGGAAACTGACAAGATGAAGCTATACATTGGTTAGTCTGTGCACAGCCTGCAAAGGACCAGGGAGATATAATAGCATGGGAAAGGTAGGTCCCAGTACACAATTCAGAAACGCCAAAATGGGGGGAAAAGGCAAGAGCAGTAAGTTCATCAAAGGGGTGCACCCCCCCCCACTTAATAATGTGATACTCTGGATTTTAAGTGTTGAGCTGACACTTGTCACATCCCCATGTCTCTAGGTAGTTCAGAAAGGGGTATTACTAAACCACCCACATTTTTGCAGTTTCTTTTCTGAGCAGTTACTCTTGTGGTCACTTGTGCTTCAGTGGACATGCACACATTTCCTCAACAAATTTTTAAAAGTTCTGAGATGGCAGCTGCATGGGACACAGTAAATGGAGCCTTTATGGGAAAAAGGTATAAGTACTGCTGGTGTGGGCACCCCATTTGTTCCACCCCATTAAGGCACCCTGTAAGGGTTTTTTTTTAAGTGCTGGAAATATTTTCATGACACTAAAGGCTGAGAAGAAAAAAGTGGTGGGATTGGCTAAAATTTAAGGGGTAGAAAGTACATGAAGGTAAATTTGTGTTACATGAAGTAGCTACTCTAAAAAAAAAGAACTACACAACTTGCAGTTGAAAGGGAAACTTACAAAAGTGCATGGGGGGGGAGGGTTGTTAGGGACATGGGTGTGTGCTGAACAGGAGAAGCACTGACAACTGTCAGTTCAACACTGCCAAGTAGAGATATTGCCTCCTCTAATGCTCTTGCCCTTTTCCCACATTTTCAGTGTTCTGAATGGTGCTACTGTGTTCCTTTTTCTCTTCCCTAGTCCTTCACAACTGTGCACAAATCCACTTCCAGTACTACCTTTCTTTTTCATCCAGCCCAGGTGAGGTGGTGATGGTCCTGAATAAGTTCTTGCACAGTGATGGACTGGATGTGGGACACTAAATTGAGGCTTGCTCCAGATAAGACAGAGGTACTGTTGGTAGTGAACTCTGGGGGATAGTGGAGGACAGGAAGGCCTGGAGGAATGTTGTCCATGGGGTCGCAATGGGTTGGACACGTCTTTGCGACTAACAACAACTGTTGGTAGGTAGGTCATCTGCCCAGGGGAGTGATATTTGCCCTATTCAGGATTGTGTTGCACACCCCCAAAGGGATAGCGTGTGTAGTCTGGGAATGCTCCTTGAGCTAGAGCTATCCTTGGAATCTCAGGTGGCTGCTGTGGTGAGGAGCACTTTCCACCAGCTTCAGCTGGTCCATCAACTACTTCCTTACCTGAACAGGCAGAACCTAGCAATGGTAATCCACACTCTGGTGACCTCCTGCTTGGACTATTGCAATGCCCTCTACATGGGGCTATTCTTGAAAATGGTCCAGATACTTCCAATTGGTACAGAATAGAACAGCCAGGCTGCTAAGTAGTCTGCTCATCATATTACCGAGAATCCTCCTGCTGAAGCCCTTGATTATGCCTGCTATTCCTATGATTATATCTGTAGACTCTAGGCTGTCCCTTATCTCATCCTCAGCATAGACCAACCTTTCGTCTTGCTTCTGCATGAGGTGGGAGGCAGCCAACCCTAATTATGGTCATCATTTCAAAGAAGACGACTTTGAAACAGGAAAATTCTAGTACACTGGCCATGTTGTTACAAAGGATGGGGGGAAGGGCTGCTGTGGCTGATGTTACTGTTCATGGTTTGGGTTGAACCTTAGGATTCCAAATGACATATCTATTTAATTTACCCAATCCCCCCCGCCCCACTCTCCTGGTGTGTGTGTGTGTGTGTGTGTGTGTGTGTGCACGCGCACATGCTACTAAGATAAGGAAGCAGGTAAGGATTGTCCAAAAGACTGCAGGGAAGTCACAACCACTTTTTCAGTGGAGTATTAGCTAATGATGTGAAGATTGGGCCAGAATCTGGCTGAATTATGCTTTCTGGGCTTCTTTTCCACTGTTGGCTCTGGCCAGGAAGAAAGCCAAGCTGTGATCAATGTGAACATTCAGTAACATGGATGACTTCTTTGCACAAAGTACACAATTCTTTGTGCAAAGTATGTAAGTCCACAAGTCACATGTGCAGAACCACAATTCTGCATGCGGAGTGAGTGCACGAGTGCAAGCCAACCTCACTGATTTGCCTGAATGTGCTTCTTCCCAGATGCCCACCTGAATACTTGGCGTAGGTAAACTTATAGCAGAGAGAAAGTGGGCCAAAGTCTGGGGAGTCCAGCTGAGGAAATCTAACAGTCCCACCTCTAAAATGAATTTCTTACTTATTGCTCATATTAACTCAAATTCCATACCTCAAACTATATTTAAAATATTTTAAATTAACTCTTTAAAAAAATTCCAAGAAATTTTGCAAGAAACAAGACAATCCTTGCTGGAAGGCTTATAATCTAAAACACAGAAAGAAAAGCTGGTGGTGGGGAAGCAAATTCACAAACCAGTCCTTAAGTTACAAAGTCATCAAAAATTTCACTAACCTGCAAAGTTATTCTATTTTTAACCAGCAATCCTATCTTTATATCCATCAGGTTCAGATCTTTCTCTAGCTGTTGACTGGATCGGATATTTGTGACTACCTCTTCCCTTAATCTTGTTACTTCTAGCTCTTCTTGGAAGTCTAAATCACTCTGATCCATGAGGTAAGCAAATTTGCGTATGACATTCAAAGGAGGATTTTCCGAACCAGCTGTGAATCAAGCAAACAAATCTGAAATTAATCTGAAGGGCATTAGCCATTTCATTCTAACCAAAATTCCTCATAACAGCTGCAACACTGGACACACACCTGCTCAGAAAATTATTTTATGTTCAGAAAATACTATTCAGTACGTACTCAATATTCTGTAGTCTTCCCTAGCTTTGTTTGCCTTAAGGAATGCTTGAATTTTCACAATTTCTTTTTCCTGAAAGAGACCCAGATTTTTAACATCACTGCACAGGAAACAGTCTGGATAGTTTTTATCTATCTTTTCCCTTCTCCATTTGTCCACCACATGATAAAGAAGCAATGCTTGATCTATGATGAATTAATAAGGAATAAGAGGTTGGGGGAAAACCTTACATGATCTTTGAAATATTGCATCCGCTGCTTGTATGCTCTTTTTGCTAGCCACATTCTGACCCATGATTGAATCTGAAAGTCAAAAAAGAAGTTTTAATACTAAAAACTAATTTTATTTTAGCTCTCTCTCTCTGAAATGAGTAATTTTTAAATCCTGTGTTCATAAACCACATACTGGCATATCATTTTGTACAATTTGCACCAATTTTGACTTATGTGTCACATTCAGGTCTAAAAGTAACTCGAACGTAACGCTGCTGCACTGAGACTCATTACAGAGGCAAGTTCTTCAGCTTCAATTCATCAGCCTTTTCATGACTGCACTTTGCACCATTGTGAACATTCTAAATTATCTCCACAGTAAGAAGCAAGCAGGTAATTATAACTCTGAAAAGTATGATCTGCAGATGCAATTCAGCTTTGCCCAGCTGTTGCTATGTTATCAGATGCTTTGGCTCATGTGTACAAGCCCACTTATGACAGAGGGATGAAAAGGAGCAAAGACGTGGTGCAGGTAGCGCACAAGAAGCAAAAAACTGGAGAAGAGAGGCAAAGGTTAAACTGAGACATGTAAATAGACATGAAGGCTATTCACTATGCAAAGCCCTGCTTGCTCAGTATTTTTTCAAACTAATTCTGCAGGTTTGCTCTATAACTGCACATGCACAATATCAGCTATCAGATAAAGACAAAACACAAATAGCTTTTTGCTATTCAGTAATATTGTGCCATATAAACAATTCAACAAATACTCAATTAGAAAAAGTACCTCAGAAAAATATGAGGTTTCCTTTCTTTAGATTACTACCAGATAATGTAATAATAAAACTTTATTATGATCAAAGACCAGATCAAAGTATAACATTAAAAGGTAATATAGAAATATTGGGGAAATATAGGAAAATATTAATCATTGGTTATAGGGTGTAAGTAGCAGTCTCAATAATCTATAACTCCCGAGTCAGTTCAAAATTGCATGCCATATACAATATCCCCACTCCAAGTGGTAAACACTTTAGCACAATATACTATTTTAATGCCAGTATTAGACCAATATGCATATCAGCCATATTACTCCTCAGACTTTATCTTTCATACAGCTAGGCAGATCGGTTCATACTCTTTCAACATTCTTCTTTGTTGAAAGAAGAAGGCTTCAAAGAATTTAACAACACTATATCTAAATACTGGACTAGTGTCATACAGTAATATATGGATGTATTACTGTCCAGAAATTGGTTTCTTAAAGGGGAGATGTTTGCAGCACAAATGTCCCTATAGACTTTGTACCACAGCAGGGCATGCTCTGTGGTTTCATCTATTCTATACCACAGGCGCTCTGACCAGGGGATCTTTTTATACTGTTCCTCCAACACAGCCAAGACTGTCCATCAAGACTGTTCAAGATAAATGCTCTTCTATGCTTAAAGGCAGTGCTTTTTTGTCATAAAATGCACCAGAAGGGTGTTCCGGCACTTTTTTTCAATGGATTTAACAAGTGATTTTGGCATAGCAGATCAGCAGCAAACATCATTAACATAGTGCTGCAGGCTGCTATTGTGTCTGCCATCTGTTATCTGATAGTGAGAGATAGCTGCTTGGCTTGGAATTGGTGTGTGCGCTTACTGCCTGGACATGAGTTCCGGCACTTTTTTTTTTTTTTTTTTACAAAAAAAGCACTGCTTAAAGGTAAAGGTTTCCCCTTGATGTTACGTCCAGTCATGCCTGACTCTAGGGGGCGGTGCTCATCTCCGTTTCCTAGCCAAGGGAGCCAGCGTTTGTCCGCAGACAGTCTCCGTGCTCGGCATGACGCTGTTACCTGCCCACCAAAGTGGTACCTTTTTTATCTACTTGCATTTGCATGCTTTTGAACTGCAAGGTTGGCAGGAGCTGGGAACTCACTCCGTTGTGCAGATTAGAACCGGCGACCTTTCGATCAACCAGCCCAGCAGCTCAGCAGTTTAAACCACTGCGCCACCTGCAGTCCCCTTCTATGCTAATGAAGTTCTAATTGAGCAAGGCAAGGTGCAGCTGGACGTATCTGTAGTTCTCCCTGAGGTAGAATTCTGAGACACAGTTAAGATCAGTCTGTCTCTCAGCATCTGCAATGCACTGCTTGATGATTCCCATTGTCTGCTCAAAGGCCATATCTAACAGAGTCCACAAGTGGAGGCCTAAAAAAGCTATTTTCTGCTCAATTGGCAGTATCCAATTAGATCTGAAGTCATCTTGCAAAATTAGTGAGGCATGACCAGTTGAAAAATATGACAATCTGAGCCAGTATACAAGGATAGTGATTCAGACCCTAGCCTCAATTTTAGTCAGGCCACTCTCCAATCTTACCGTTAAATTGGAGACATCTCTAGGAACTTCCAGTATTGTCCACAGAAATTTTGATTGTACACATTCTAGTATATGAATATTTGGGTAAGGCCCCTATTGAGAGCCGTACAATAATTCAGCTAATACTTTGGCATGGTACGGTTGAAGGGCGAAAGGGATAGAGTGGCCACCTTTCATTCTCATGAATTGTATTAATGCTGAAGAGCTCCTCTGGGCATTTCATGTCACATATTCACCATGGGCCTTCGTGGAGCCATTTGTCTGAAAAACTACACCTAAATATTTGAATTGGAAAACCTGCTCAATCTTATACCAGTTTATTATCCGTAACTGGGTTTTTGGCCTTTTTGCAAAGGCCATGATTTTGGTTTTTTGACAGTTACTCATCAGGTCATCTTCCTTAAAGTATGCAGACAGCTTCTGCAATGCTCTTCTAAGCCCAATTGGAGCCACTGAGATAATAGCTGCATCATCTGCATATAGTAAAATACTTATGTGCCGCCTCACAACTTTTGGAGCATGAAAAAATTGGTATGGTTTAACTCATCCAGCACTGAATTTAACATAGAAGTTAAATAAACACAGGCCAGATGCAGCCTTGTCTGACTCCTTTTTGTACTGGAACAGTATTTGTAAGATGGCATGTGCATGAGTATTTGTAAGATGGCATGAACAGTATTTGTAAGATGGCCTGAGTGAAGTATCTCTATGTAGGATCTGAATGAGTAGGAGCAAATGCCTAACAATGTTGGTGGCCTCTAATTTCTTCCATAGTTTAACCCTTGAGATGAAATCAAAGGCTGCCTTAAGATAAAGGCTACATAGAACAAGGTCATTTTGTTCAAGATGTATTTCTCATTGAGATGCTGTAGAACCAAACATTGGTCAATGGTAGAACTGCCCTCCCTGCCTGCTCCGCTGCCACTATTATATCCTGCCCCAGCCAATCTTTAAGCTTTCTATATAGATGCCTAGCATATAATTTGCCAATGCTGCTTAATAAACTGATGGGCCTATTATTTGCAGGATCATCTCTGTTTCCCTTCTTGAATATAGGGACAATGATGGCACACCCTCATTCTTCTGGAATCCATCTAGTCATGTCAGTGTAGGAAAATAACAATGCTAGAACTGGGCCCACCATTCTAGGTTGTTTTGAAACACCTGTGGAGGATCAAATCCTTGCCTAGAGCTTTGCCCATTTTCATCTGGGTAACTAGATAATAAATTTCTGAGGTCAGAACCAGGGGCCAAGGTGGAGCATCTTCAAGCATAATATTCCATGCCACCTGGACATGATGAAGTCATGAAAGTGCTTCTCCCAAACCCTTATGTGAATATAGGGATCTGGCAATGCTGGCCCACAGGCTGGAGAGATCCTTATCAACTGTCAGAACATGGCTGGGTCCTTAGATTTAGCTGCTTGAATCAGTTTCACCAAGTTCTCCTTCCAGGCCCTTTTTTTTCCCTTTTGAGTCAATAGCTGTTTATAGGATTTTTTCTGTTCAAGATGATCTTGATTGATCTTCAGATCAGGGTTAGATTTATAGTTTGATAAACATTCCGTTTTTTACTTGAACAAATTCACTATCAAACCAGGGCTTTGAAGCCAGATGGTGCCATGCTTTACCACTGAAGGACTATCTCACCTCTTGGGATAACTTTTGATATAATTCCACCAGGCTGGTTGCTTGGGTGTTGGACATGGATAATGTCCTGATGGTTTGCATTCTGTCTGATGCAAACAAAGCATGTAATTCCATATCTATCCTTGGAATCCATTTGACATGGCAGTAAGCTTCCCCTTCAGGGGATATCATAGGCATGCAGCAATCGACACATCATAGACAGGGTTGAAACAAGAGAATGCATGTATTTATCAGACTGAACAAACATTGTGCCAAGTGGCAAATTAATCCAATTAGGTATCTGATATTTGTGGATATCTAGAGACTTAACTGAATGACAACACTCTCTAACTAAACTAATTCTCCAAGATACAAAACAATCTATGACACCAATGCTAGTTTTCACCCATGGTGTGAAGCCTGATATACAATGTTTGGTGTTTTTATGCAATTTCCAATTTAATCATCATCTTATGCAATCAGCTGGTCAGGAAGTATCTCTTGCTATAGTTTTCCCTCCCAAAATACTTGCATCTTCCCAATAAACTGAGCTTCCATACAGAAGAAGGCACAAGATGAAGACAATCACAGGTCTCCACATATAAGTAGTACTTACTTTGATAACAGAAGCAACATTTCTTTGCAACATGTTAAGTCTTTCAGAGTAGATTTTCCTTTGCTTATATCCCTTCCAGGATGCCTGTTTTTTCAAAAAAGACAAAACATTAGGACAATAATGAATTCCAAAGTCACTATAAGAACTATTTTATCAAAAAGTAAGATAAAAATACTTACTGAATGAAGATCTAATATTCTTAATGTATACCTCTGCTCTACTTTCCCACTATTACACACCTCTGTCTTCATTCATGGATCTCTATTGCACTCTCTAAGATTATTCTGTACAGATTTATGCAAGTTATTATTTGCCTGATCTTACTCATTTATGGTTCTTCAAAAGTGGAATATCTTGTGAAGAACTGTAGCATAAGGGCCTGCACAGTGTATCTTGCAGATATCGGAACACTGGGCAAGTTATGGCCCAGTGGTAGTGGACTGTTTCCATAGTGCTCATTTTTGCTGGAGCATATGGGGGAGATTTTGTGTAATGTGGATGGACACCTTCCATATTGCATAGATTTTACATTCTCTTGCTTATATTGCTTGTTTTCATTCATATTATTTTACTTATTATGATTTATCCTTATTTAGGTTCTCTCCCCAACATCCATGTTATATAATATGGATTTGTGCACATATAAGTTGCTTCAAGTGTGCTTTTGCAGATGGAAGCCATACATTAATATAGCTAATAATAATAATATGTGGTTTGCACAGATGAGAGGTCACTGGGGTGGCCTTTTTCCTCTTAATAAATGACACCAGACATGCTCTAAAGTATGTACAACACTTGACTAGTTCTATTATTAGCTTGTTAATCATTAACAGTCAGAAATAATTGGGGTTCAGTGAATGACAGTACCTGCAATTTTATAATGGATTTATCCTGGGAATGGAGATACACTTTTCTTTCCTTATATTTTTTCCTGACTAGGAATCCCCTTGCTTTAGCCTGCAGCTGAATGATCAGATCCTCATTTGCAAACCACAGCTGTTCTCGGTTGTAATCTGATGTAATTTGATCAACAATATTCTAAGCAGGGAGATAAACAGATAATGTAAGGGATCAGGCATAACCTAAACAGCCAAGCAAAAGCCAAACCATTTCAGCACAGAACTATACTCCAACCTCCAGCAAAGCCCTAACATTGTCCAACTCCTCACCCCTGTCTGCTTGATTGCGTTCTAAAGTCCCTGTTGATGTTTATTTAAGAATTTTGAACATGTTCCTTATTTCAACACTTGTTCTGAAATTCATGTTGCTCTGCTATGGATTGGCACAAAGATTCTATCAAAATTGCACTGATTTTGTGGACTCCACACAAGAGTGTTTTATTCAATGTTGCTCCTATTTTAAAGATGCTGCCAAATGATTTAGCAATATACCCCGAAATTCCATGCTTCTCTAGTGTCCATGCTTTTTCCATAAAGAAAGTCTTGCACAACTCAGATTTGAGATTTGCTGCTTTTGCAGCAATCCTTTGCTATTGCAGAAGACATTATTTGATAGAGTAATGAACACATACCTTAATGGTATGTTTTGTAAATAAGTCCATACATGTTACTAGTAACATGGACTTATGGACTTATTTACAAAACATACCATTATGTTTGTCTACCAATCCAAACTTGTGCCAGTTGTTCATAGCACAAAAGTTCCAGCTGTTTTCTAATAAACAAGATCTTCCATTCCGGAAGCAATTCTTAATTGCCACAGGAAGTCAGCTACTTCTAAGCCTGTGAATGTAAATGCTAAAACTCAGAATAAGAAGCTGATGGAAAAGAATAGAGCTCAAGCTAGACATGCATGAAACCTTTGTTGACACAAAGTAGAGACATGTGAATTTTGTTAATTCTGTTCTGTGTTTCACAGATTGTCATACATCTAGTATCCTGTCATCCACTTACTGACAGAATCTGACATTTTAAATCAGAATGTCATTCTACTTCCACTAATACTAATATGCATTTATGCAAATGCCTTAATCTGCATTAGTTAAATTAGCTCTAATGCACACTAATTAACATAGATTAGTACAGTTGCATGGCTACATATGAGCACTAGTGCTAATTACATAGCAGACACCAGAAGTGAAAAGTCAGCCTGCAAGTCCACAAAATCCATGTGACTTTGAGAAAGACAGCCTGCTGCTGAATCTACACGTTGAACCTCAACAAATACAAACTCTTTTGATTCCACAGTTAATTTCTTCAACATCCCCACACAGCAATAACAATCCAGCACAGCACACTGCAATTTTTTTTTATCACAATGGATGTATGTGCAGGAGTCTGCTCAAGGAAGCGATACTAAAATGGGAGGAGGATGTGTTTGCTGGATTGCATTTTCAATTCCATCAGGTTGTTTTTTTAAGTACTTAGTTCATATTGCTAATTTGCAATTAAAAAGAAATCATATGGAACAGCTGCCTTGTCTAGCTCTCAGAAATTACAAAAGAATTGCCTCAACGCTATTTAAAATGTGGATGTTGTAAACAGAAACATGGCAAAACATATAGCTCATTTCTGAGTTTCCCCTCTGGAACAAATTTTTAGATTAATATTTGAGAAAAATTAAATATGCATTGCATTGCATTTGCAAGAAATATTTGCAAATCTGAGAATGGAAAATTAAGATTAAATATACAGAAGTACAGTCCTCAAAATAATACCATTTATATGGAAATAGTAAAAGAAATAATACACTGAGATATTTTATTTAGAATGAAGGAATGTTACCTTTTTGTTACTGAACATCACCCCTCACACTCTTTGAGTTTATTATTTACTTGTTAAACTTATATTCTGCACTAATAGTCCATAGGTCTTTTTAAGTGGATTTTAACAGTATTCGTGATAACTAATGGCAGCATCATTTTAGGAAGAACACAAGAACTAATCCATTCCTTCAACAATATTCTACCTGAATCTCTTCACCAGTCAGCCAAGATGTTTTTGGTGTAACTCCTTCAGGTGGGACACAAGTATCTTCTCCAGTTTCCACATTAAAGTAATAACTGTAGCTGCCTTCCATTAAAATTTTGATCCATGGACCTTCATCAGGATCTAAAAGTATTGAATAGTAGTATTGTTATGCTTTAATACAGCCCAAGAACTTCCATCCTCCCCTTTAAACTCCTTTAAAGTGTAATGTATGCAAATTTAGAGGGAAAAAGCCTACAGCTCCCAGCATTCCCCAAACAGCTACACTGGCATTTGTATGAATTCTTTATGCCAAAACTTGCCTAGAATTATGGCCATAAGGTATTATTGATTCATCACAGTTCTATATTGCCTTTCTGAAAGCAATCAAGACTTTTTACAAGTATTTCAGAACATGAAAACTTTAATCAAATGAAAGGATTGTCAAACATTAAAAATGACCTTTCAAAGCTGTAACATGTTACATCACTGCATTCAGCATCCTGTGGTGGCAAGGACTAACATGCCCAGTCTGTGGATGATTCACACCATTTTCTGGGCCTGAATATGCTACATTGAGATATGCAAAAATTGTTATGAAGTGATAGCTAGTTACGTAAGCAGATCTGCTTTGGAGGAAGCAGGTATCAACAGCCAAACTGTGTGCAAACTCCAAAGTTACTTATGGGGTTTGTTTACTGTATGTGCATCCTGTTCTTACATGAGGACCCCAGTGGTCTCCCATCTGGATTACTGAACAGGCTGATACCTGCTGAGCATCAGCACTGCTGCAGTAACTGGTGTTCTCAGATTGTTCACTAGGCCCCTAACTAGGACGTGCTATTCTGCATTGAGAAAGCCCTTCTGTGCCGAGAGTCCTGAAACTATCTCTTGACATAGCTTCGCTTTAACACTGAATGTGAGTCTTCCCACATGTAACTCACAGAAAATGAAGAGCTTAGTGCCTGACTCTCTCTTGTTCAGGCAGAGAATAAGGACCAGATCTGGGAAGGGCCAGTATTGTCATATGGAAGAATCTTTTCTATCAGCCACCAGTATCAAGGAGATGCTGACACTATGTGTGAGTTGCATAATTAGGGACAGACCCTCTCCGCAGAAGCAATAGCAGAAGCTGTTGCTTCATAGTAGCTCTGCACCTCCGTCAAAGTCATGCCTCAAGCACACTTTAGAAGTCACGAATAACAGTATGACACTTCATTACTCTCCCTACTTGCTCCAGATGCTTCACAGGAAGCCAACAAGTCACTGAGAGCAACAGGATGTTAGGCCTGATGAATCACTGCTTTGTCCTAACAGTACCGTTCCCATATGTCCTAAACGGTTAAGAACTGTTCCTTATTTATGGGTTCATAAAGTTTTTATAGTGCCTTATAAAACACAGACAGATATCAGCCCCACTCAAAGGCACTACTATAGGAGTGGATGCAGGCAGGAACAAATGCAGTTGTGCAACTCAGGAATGCAGGAATTCTGGGAATGCCCAGCTTTCTCCAGAAGCAACTTTTCAGAAACAACTTAGTATGGAATAACTCCTGAGGCCCAGAAATTTATGCAAAGAACTGCTCTACTTTGCAACTGAAATTAGAGTTCCCGCAGTACAAAGAAATGTTCCACCCTCTATTACTTCTGTGTTGAATTAGCAGCTGATATTCTTCCAAACAGGAAGACCTTTCAACATATTTGCAGTGCTATTATTGAACACAACAGCAAAAACAGGATTTATCTTTAAGTGCTCATTTAAGCATACGGCAAGTAACACCAGAGTAGATGAGCTTCTTGTGCAACATATAAAATATTTACAAATTAATTTTCAAGATATCCTATTTTGTTCAGACTGTATTACCTTTGGGTTTTAGACTCTTGGCTTCCAACAGGCTTTTGTAGTAGCTTTCAGCACACTCTGGGATAACTCTTAAATTGAAGATAGGAGCCTGCAAGATGGAGATGACTTGTGCAGAGTCTCCTTGCTCTAAACACTGGTTTACTGTTGTTACCCCAATAGCCACTAAAAGGGCAGAAAAATTAAACATCAGCAATTATGCCTTTACAACTATGTATTTCAGGTATGGCAACAATATTTTTCAGGGAAGAAGAGTACCTATACCAAATCATGAAGTACTTGTAAAAACTAAGATTTTCTACCAAAAAAACAAAACAAAACACCTGAAGATGCCTGTAAAACATACTCTTTCCCACACCTTGCCCTAATTCACATTGCAGGGACGTCAGGGATACAGAAACTCATGTCTGGATGGCCATGTCCACTTGCCCTTCCCCTGCCCCCTTTGTCCCAACCACTATAGTTTGATGGCTTCCCTGCTTCTGCATTTTCCCCCATCCTAAGAGGTTGAAATACATCTCATAAGCTTAGCAGCTGGCACTAAAACCTTTAAGGTAGAATACGCTGGTGCTTTGGTCCTGCCCATTTTGGCATTTGGTTGTACCCACCACTGCAATGTGGCCCTCAAATGCTCCTCCAGAATCGCAGGCTGAAAGGGATTCTGTCCCCCTGCTTCAGGTGGTCTCACTGAGACAGTCTCTTTTGCACTCATTTCTCTCTCCACAGTTGAAGGAAGGAAATGAGGAAGAACGGCTGTTCCTGACAGGTATAACAATCCTAATGTAACCTCCAGTAAATCTAACTTTCACACATTTTACAAAGTTGTAACCCTACATAGGTTTGTGACACAGGATAAAAACATCACTGAGTAGTATGATACCAACAAGACAGCACCAACACATGCATGGATGGGTTCTTCTGAGTACAAGGGCTTGCCACTTGATTTCATTGAAGGGAATAGATTTGCAACCATTGAGAGTAATGGGGACCTTTGCATTTACACACATGTTCAGTACTGTTGTTTTACATCAGAATGTGTTCAGATTATTGTGTAAATGATATGCTTACTTACTGTAATCTATGGATTTCAAATACCAAAACAAACAAACAAAAAAACCCAAAACAAAACAAAACTGAGGACAGTTGTCAATTGTGCAAATTTTTATGAATATTGGAGATGCTGATAAGTTTTAGCATGAATTTGCTTTAAAAATCCATATAGACATCATTCAAGGGTCTATAAAAGGTTGCTAGAATTCACTGTGGCATGAATTCCTGTGGATTAAGTTGTCAGTGATAATGAAATTTACCTTAGATTTAAGTGTTTAGACATAATTCAGACTGGCTAGGATCAGGGCCATTGTCAAACACAAGCATAGTTGGGTACCTGCCAAAGGCCCATAACCCCAGAGGAGGAACACTGACTGCAGCCCCCTGGAATTGAACCTCCTCTTCACCTGTTTGTTCACTTGTACCTTGCTCTAGACAGACAACGGTTGTGGTGGTGAGGAAGAGGAGCTGTGGATGCTCCCTGCCTGTTAACCAAGTAAGTGGTGATAATGAAGGATAAGTAGCAGCAGCAGTGTGATGATAGACTTAATGAGAGAGGAGTCTTTCCCAATGTTCCCCATAAACATGGAGCTGGCAGTGGCTAGGACATCTGAAGAATTCAGATAGCTGTGGAGTCTCTTCAGTTATTATTATGGTAGGCTAATTTTTGGTTAATTCAGAGAAGAAAGAGGTGCAGCCATCTTTTATTAAGTGAAAGATGGGTTTGTGCCCTGTGTGCTTTGACAAGCACACAAAGAGCCAAATAGAATTTGACTTCAGATTACCCTCAGAGAATTGGCTTTTTGAAGTACTTCGGAGTATTTGTAGTGGTGGCAAACTTGCTCGGAGGCTCTTTGGACTTTTTAGTTAGTAAAAAAGGCTTCACTCTAGTTAGAGGAAAATGGAATAAAGACAGTTGGAACTGGAAGGATAAGGTATCAAGGATGAGCCTGCCGAAACTTCTTGTTCATACATTAATTGAAAAATGTTTATTTCTTCTCTCAAAGTCTTATACATTTTGTAAGGGTTTTACATTGTATTAGCCATTTGGAGCAGAGGCAGAGACAGTATACAAACATTTTAATTTAAACCCCACAATTTTACTTCTTATGTAGCTAAGATTCTCTTCCATATATTTGCCTATTCTTCATATTTATAGACACTAGAACAGCTATAGACATGTACAAAATCCAGGCACAGAAATTCTGTGACAGTATCTAGGAGGCCACAGGGGTTTTTTGAGTCCCAGCCCTGTTGCCAGAAAGCAACTCTGACATTGTAGCTAGAGTTCTACACTCAGAGCTCCTTCTACCACAACAGCTGGCAGAGAAAGAAATCTACCAGCTGCTTTACTGAGATCAGGCAGTGACTGCAAAGAAGGGCTTGTGGGGGCAGTCCAGGGGGCAGAAATGGAAGTAAACAGGCACCACACAGATATGATGTGTCTTGGTAGCAGCTCGGTCTCCTCCTGCCCCAGACCAAAGCTCTGTAGCTATACCTCTGACATCTGAAACTGGCCATCAGTCACTTCACTGGACAGAAGCCGCAGAGAGGTGACCTTTGTCCATGCTTATCCCACCCTGAATAGAAAACTACTGTTTTCTAAGTTGGGAGCAAACATAAATTTGCCTACCCGAAATCTGAATTGATACCATCACTGTAAAGACTAAGTCATTCTGTCTCCTGATAAAAGAAACAGCAGTGTCCAGCTTCAATACCCAGCCAGCCCCTCCCACCGCCAAAGTCCTTTTATTTGGGATGATCAATGAATAAGTTATTTTTACAAGGTGGTATATAAAATACTCAAGAGTTAAGATAAATATAGATTGCCTGCTCCAGAATGTAATTTGCTAGGTATGTATTTTTCAGTCCCAACTGTGCTTTTCAGTTGGGAACAAAGTTCCACACAATGAGGGATAAGTATTTTGTTACAAAGTTCATGTCACCAGCAGGTCAAGCCGCAGCCTTTTGAGAATCAGGATACAGGGTTTGACACACAGGAGTACTGAGATTTAACAGCCTCCACTGCGCACAGACATTACACTTTTATTTGACTTGGCAATCCCATACCTGCATAGCATGGCTCAGTTTTGTGTGTTTACCATTTAAGAGTGCTGTGAAAGCTGGACCATAAGGAAGGCTGAGCGCCGAAGGATTGAGGCCTTTGAATTGTGGTGCTGGAGGAGACTCCTGCAAGTCCCTTGGACTGCAAGGAGATCAAACTGATCAGTCCTAGAGGAGATCAACCCTGACTGCTCTTTAGAAGGCCAGATCCTGAAGATGAAACTCAAATACTTTGGCCACCTAATGAGAAGGAAGGACTCCCTGGAGAAGAACCTAACGCTGGGAACAATTGATGGCAAAAGAAGAGGACAGCAGAGAATGAGGTGGCTAGATGGAGTCACTGAAGCAGTTGATGTGAGCTTAAGTGGATTCCAGGGGATGGTGGAGGACAGGAAGGCCTGGAGGAATGTTGTCCATAGGGTCACGATGGGTCGGACACAACTTCGCGACTAACAACAACAACAAGAAGAAGAGTCCTAACCAAATAGTGTTGCTTTTAACTTAACTAGAATATTACAATCTTTAATGGATCTGCCATCATAAAAATGTATGAAGCAAATCTGTATTATCTCCATTTTAAAACTGCAGAACAAATTTATATGGCAAAAGAGGGACAAGGACACAAAACTCCCTTAGTTCCAAGGTAACTACTTGTCCACTGTACCATCATAATTTCCATGAGGGACAGGAATGTAAACCAAATAGTTTAAGTCATCCGATATAGCAAAAATAATCCAACTAGAGGCTTTATATAAACATCAAGAGCTGTAAACAAACTGTAAAAAAAATTGAACAAGCCCCAAACTCACTTATTGGATTCATCAAAAAGAAGAACTTATACCAACTGAAGGCCAGATGGGGGAAAGTCTCCTGGGAGAAGGCACTGGAAGGCAACGGAGTTCAGGAGGGGTGGTTGGTGCTAAAAAGGGAGGTCTTGGAGGCACAAGCCTTGATGATACTGTTATTTAACAAAGCGGGGAGGCGAAGAGAAGTGATAAGGGGGATTAGATGTAAGAGGTACCTCTGTAGGAAATGGGAAGTGGGCAAGTAGACAAAAGGGTATACCAGGAGGAAGAGGCTCATTGCAGAAGAATTCATCACAAGGCTAAGTCTGATTAGGAGCTAAGACTTGTTAAGAATATCAGGAGCAACAAAAAGCACTTCTATTGACAAGTAAATAGCAAGAGGAAGGGGAGACAGGCAGTGGGACCTGTTTCTTAATAACAAGAAAAGGGATTCAGTGATGAATGTGAAGGAACAGGCACAGATGCTAAATAATTATTTTGCCTCTGTGTTCTCCCCAAAGCAGGATGGGGAGATCTACATAGGGGACTGGATGAGGCCAGGGATTTAGGGGCACAGATTAGAGTCATCCCCCCTCCAAACTTGAGGAGCTCCTCGGGGCACTGGACATTACAAAGGTGCCAAGCCCTGATGGGTTACACCTAAGGTTACTTCAGGAGTTGGTGGGGGTACTCTTGCGCCTGCTGGCCTCCATTTTTGAGGCCTTGTGAAGAACGGGCAAGGTTCCAGAATAGTGGAGGGTGGTGTCAGTAGCCCCAATCTACTACCAAAAGGTAATAGAGGGGATGTGGGGAATTACAGCCTGGTTAACCTTACATCCATTTTAGGGAAGAAAAAGGGAAAGGCTCATAATACGAAAAGTTCTAGAAACCCTAGATAGCGAAGGGAGGTTGGTAGTCACGCAGCACGGCTTCTGAAAGAACAGGTTCTGCCAGATGAACCTTGTGGACTTCTATGACAAGGTTTCGAAGTGGCTAGATGGAGGGGGCACGGTGAATATTGTTTACCTGAATTTCAGCAAGACCTTTGACAAAGCGCTGCATGGATATCCTGGTTGAGAAATCAAGGAGTTTAGGGATAGACCAATGCACTGTCCAATGGATTAGGGCATGGTTGATGGACTGAAAACAGTGGGTAACTATTAGTGGGGAATCATTGGGATGGCAGCTGGTGATGAGTGGGGTCCTCCCAGGACTCTGTCCTGGGACCCATCCTGTTCAATCTTTTCATCAATGACCTGGAAGAGG